CATCATACATCTGCAAATAGCCAGACATAGAAACATCCTTTGACCTGAAAGCTACCTTTCATCACCTTGGTCTTCGGCTCATCCTCAAGCGTGCCAATGATATGCTACTTCACGCTCGTGTTTCCTGGGGTCATATGATGTTATATTCGAGTAGTTGTCTCCTGAATATACTGTGGCAAGCGGGGCTGTGCCATCACCAAACCCTCCCCAACTTTTCGCTCGAAATGATCGCGACTGAGCGTCTTCCGCACTCTCCGTTTCATCCGATTAATGTGCCTTTCGTTGTACTATCCCTCCGGAAAACTGCGATTGTTTCCTCTATACCTCATCCAACTCTGCGACTTGACGCTTCGCTCGTATCGCAATGAGTGGCCTTGTTCAACCTCGGGGGCCACCAGCGTATCACTCAGCTTTCTGGCCAGCGTTACCGAATCTAAACGATAGATTGTTACGCAGTCCACCAAAAATGTCACAAACGCTATACTTCAATCAAAGCCCACTAGCTATTAAACTCATGGTTGTGTACAACACACAACTAATTGCGATGCTACTTTATCGGTGCAGTTTGCATTTGGCTCAGCATTTCATTCCTCATGCCTTTCATCATCTAAATAAATAAATACAATTGTTTATTTCTCGACTATGCGAGACACGGTCCAGTAGGTTAGTCCGATCAAATTGTACAAGTGTTTCGCAAATGTGTTGATGATACAAATAAATGGAAAAAAAACTACGGTCAGTCAGACCCTTTAGAAGAACAGTATCAATCACATATTGATTGGTAGTTTTCGAAGAGATTGCAATATTGTATCTTTTGTTGGTCAAATGTTCACATATACTCGGCACATGGTGTAGCCTATCGTTGCACAGTAGATGGGAGCGGCTTGAGCTTGCTAGATTTTCGTCAGGTAGCAGAACACAATCCATACGCCGCGCAGCCAGGCGTATGGGAATATTTCTTCAAAGTATTTGGACGATGCTCGGAGAAATGGACATGTTGGAAAGATAGAACGGTAGACAGGCTAATCGATTTACAAGTGTGAACACTGTCGTAATTATTTCCGTTTTAGCAAATTTAAAATCTTGTGAGAAAATCATGATACAGGTTATTAATACTGTGACCAACAGCAAACAGTGAGTAAACATAAGTAATGGAAGCATGCATGTTAGATGGTCATTCATTAGAATGTCGAGCTTATATTCCTATATATCGCCATTAGGCCAGCCAATATTTCGGGATCTGTAGCAGAGACGGTTCTCAAACACTCGTTTAAGGAGGCGCGAAATTAATTACCTAGTACATCTTTCTTTAATGGCACCTTGATACGCGCGCATGCGTATCTGTGACAGGGTTAGCAATAGAAACCAACGCACCTTGCAAAATAAATTAAAAGAAATAGTAAAGCAGTCACCGTTTAGAAGAGAATGCGTACTCGGTTGGCCTACTTCATAGGCTTCTATGTGGTTATGGCGACCTTAAGATAGGTATGGCCGCTTAACGAGAGGATACAGCAGGAATCCAAGGAGTGAAAACGAGAACTCAGTTTAACTTTCCATCGTTGACTTCCATGTGGGCATAAAAGCCTCGAGGCCAGCTTGGCCGAGTAAGGAAACAATACAACATTGCTCGGATGAATGAAGAAGAGGACCCCGTTTAATACCCCTCTTTAGCCACCATATTGATATGGAGGCTTTGAGGTTGGTATGGCCGGGTAAGGAGAAAATGTGATACATTTTAGAAGAAGGCGTTTGTTTTCTTTCTCTTCTTTCTTTTTGGGCTTTTGTGATGTCAGTGAAGCTTTTTAATGTACGACCCCTGAGGTCCCTTCAGATATTCACTTTGAAAAGTTGCATAGCTTTTGGGACTGTGAGAAATTTATCTATCTGAGCACGAAACATCTGAGAAGATGTGCATGATCTAATGGACATTTGGAGACGATTCTAAACCAATACATATCTAATAAGGACAAAATTTGCACGTTTGTTGGTGCGCGACTTTGAAATCTGTCCGTCCTCTGCGGTCGCACAAATCAACCACAAATTGTTTCGATGGGGCCAATCGTTTTACGCCACTTCAACCTCCATGTACCTGACACAATGATGTTTTCAGATTGTTTTTCCACTAACCACTGTGGCCACTGCCACAATGTGAGTACCATATCCCATCTGTTACCGGTAGCTCAGCTGACTTTCACCTGTTGCATATTTTTATCCTTTTCTATGTATTGCGGCACAGTAGCTGAGGTGTTTCCCACCTCTAGCTAACGTGTGTAATGATGATGATATTCTAGACAGGAACGATAAGTATAGCCTGTCTGTCGGACCATAGTTGGAATGCACACGCATAGGTACGCGCTGTATATGCTCTCTCGCTACGTGATTTAGTGATTCTACTTCAGTTTGTAGTCCCGTACACGCCAGCGACGAGGAATGCTCAGCGCTAGTTAGGTTGTACTTCCAGTTTCCGAAACACGTTGCCTTTTAATTAACATTGGCTAATGTACTATTCCCAGACTATGTTCCAACAATATTGGCAACACTCGAGATACGGTCTTGCGAACTTCGTCCGGTCACATGGTTAGTTCAACGTGATGTCGCAATGCAAGATCAAATGTATTCTCCAATCCATGCCTTAGTAATTGCCTTAGCAATTCTGTCTGACATTGCATCAAACGTTGGTACCCGCAAGCGTTAAACGTCGTTTACGCGAAGTGTCCAATAGGGATCAAAGTCGTTCAGTTCAGTTCAGTTCAAATATGATCCGAACAAAGCAGTGCCATGGATCCAGTTGCCACATCCCATCTCGCCAGTATAACAGTAAATAACAACGGCAAGAAAAGGAAGTCTAATGCGGACAGAATGCACAGAAAACGGTGTCAAGAATTGCGTTAGGCTAGTCGGGATGAAATGGGAATTATCAGATAGATGCAAGAAACCGTATGCAAGTACGCCACTGCATGCAAGATTGCGCCATGTCTGATAAAATTTCCAACCACTGGCGTGGACTATTCCGAGGCCGCCATCCACGAAAACGGAAAGCAACAGCCTGACCAAGTCTCTCCGTCGTTTTCCTGATACCTTTATGCCACGTTATGGGCTGGTCACCTCGCGGTTTCAACCAACTTGCTGCAGCCACGGCGTATAATGCACGCCGAGGAAGGCGGTCAACGAACATAGGGAGGACATAGCCTAGCCAACGTAAGCGGTTAAATTCTGTAAATATTTGAGTGAGGTGCTGGAAGGTCTCTTGCCCAAAAACCAACTGGCAGACCTCAACATTACTCACCCGGTGTGCCCACCAGATGTGGGAAATACTCCACAAGCACCGGTGGTTAAACAAAAACAATCGTTTACTATCTTCACTGCAAACTAGCCATGTCTCTGATCCATGCAGTAACACCGACCTTATCGCATCGTTGCGCACACTACCTTTCACTGATATGCCGACATCATGCCGTCTCCATAGATGGTTGAACCTCTGGAACTTCACAGGGCCTTGCTGATACGCGGTAACCTCCTCAATGATATGACCACCACGGGTGACACGGCTACCAAGGTAAGTGAGCTGATCCACCACTTCCAGTGGCTGTTCGGAACTAGCTAAAACCAGTGACGTAGCGGTCCACTTTTGCAAAAATTCTTTGCATTTCGAAGGTACAAAGGACATGCCGAAACGTGCAGCGCTACGCGTCGGTCTGTGCAGTAGTACTTGCATAGCCACTGCGTCAGACCCAAGAAGGTTGTATCCTCAAGGTGTGTCAGTCGGTCGCCTTGTAGAGCTTCCACTGCTATCAAAAAGTTAACAACGCAGGGCGATACGCAAAACCATAGGGAACCCCATATATCGTGGGGCACTCAGGAGACAGCTTCCCGTAGACCCTTGCACGGTCTCGGGAGTCACGGTAGAGAAACTTCAGTGGAAAGCGGTTATCAGGCACTTCACGAATAGGCTATGTTACAAGTTGACAGGATCAAGAGAGTCTAAGGTGGCCTTCAGGTCTAGCTAAGGCACTGTAGTCACTTGTCTGTAAGTGTTTATCTTCTCTAACACGTGACGAAGAGTAAATATGCGTTCACTGCAAACCTTTAGGGCGGAAGTGAGTCTGGCTTTTAGTGCTCCGGCTCCCACGACGTTATGATTCCAGTCCGCGTTCGACTGATCAATTTCATTCATCACTGACAATTGGTGGGTCTAATTCGTCATGGTGTTGTTGAACTGCGGACTGTGAGTTAGTCACAATGGGTAAGGTTAAAAGTCTGGTGCCTCGGTGAGACGGGAAAAATGAACACCATGCTTACGCGCACCAGTGAATGACCGGAATCCAGGCACCTACTATAAATTAACCGACAGTCTTGGACTGGTGTGCGCCATCTGTGGCTGATGGCAATATGGTCCAAGTCATGGAGGAAATCGGTGGACGCTAGGTGATCCGGTGTTAACTTGTGTGCTGGAAAACTGTGCTGCTAATATTAAGATTCTGGTTGGCGCACAGTTGCAGGAACCGATCACCATTGTGTGTTCGGCGTGTATGGACTCCGAAGTGCTCTGCCAGTTGTCGTTCAGAATCTGAACGATGACCCAATTGGGCGTTTAAGTCACCAGCAACAACCACCATGTCGGTATTCTTCGCCGTTGTTATAATTGGATTGTAATCTCTGTGGCGGTATTGGTTGGCTCAATTCTGACGCTGGAATGTGAAAATCCTGGAATATGACCCTGGTATTGTCTTCTTTCCGAGAAAGCTACCTACCTCAAAAACTCTTGCGCCTGCGTTTCATCGTCTCCTTCATTTTGTCAAAATTGGTTTAGAATTCTTTGCTGTATATACGGGTAGCTGTATGTCAGTTTATGTGTATCAATAAAATATCTGATCTAGCCATTCACAAAGTTGCGGCTACAGTCGAGGCCAGCCAAGCGACTCTTACAAACTTGTATTGTCCAGGTCAGGAAGGTATGCGTCATTGTATCCCATTCCATTTCACCTATCCCTCTCTTCCAGATCCTTGCGAGCTGAAATGTATGAGCTTAGCATCTCCGGGTCCAAATACCTCCACCTTAACCCAATGCGCAGATGCGGATTCCAACACAATGAAGCAATCGTTTGTGATACCGGATGATGTGTCTGGCACGGAGAAGGCCAGAGCGACAAGAAATCCAGTTGAGGCTCCGACCGCCAGCGTAGAAGTTGCTCCTGCTCGAGTCTCCAGGATATCGTCGACTCGTGCGGATAGTGAATGCGATCACTCATTTGTTGGTCCGACGCTGTCTGATCACATCTGGCAGCTAGTAACTCACAAGGCGACTCAGTATTTCGCTCAAGGTAGACTGAAAGAAATGGCTGAATTGGCGGCCAACTTTCCAACATTATGTGATACACAGGCATCGCAGCATCGTGACCGTTTGGCTAATTGGATTGCACACCAGAAGTGAGGAGGCTGTCCATTTTCTTTATAAATATTTTTCTCACCATGCATTCACTCTGCTCCTTTCTCTGCCATGGCTCGTGAACTGGAGCCAACACTTTGTGTGTGCCATACCCGCCGATTTTCGATTCTGATCTTGGTGAATGTCATGTACGGACTTCTCTTACCTTTAATTTTCGGTTGTTTTACACCTCCGACTTCTACGAACACTAAGTACCATTACTTAGTCCTCTATACTATCGGCGCTCGTCGACGCATTACGTTATTTACAGTAGGTGCTTTATTTACAAAATGTTTGCAAATTCCAGAAAGTGTCTGCTGCATCTCTTTTGCAATATTTCTCGCTGTTTTAAACCCACACATATCCCGGCGTTTCACTACTGTTTAAACTACTTTAGTATAAAAACTTTATCATTTCGTTTGGATCAGCTTATGACAAGCGGCTTCACTTTGTCACCATTGTGGAAAACTTGGCCTCCATGGGCGACTTTTCTATGGACCCAACCAGGTGTGAATCATCAGCACCGAGCCAAGGTGGATGTGACAATACGGTACAGAAGTCACTGATCTTCCACTTCATAATGGTTCTCTAATCCATTGCAGACTCCAGCTGTTTTGTGCCAATCAAAGGCGGAATGCTGTTGTGGAACCATTTTGACACTGATGTCGAATTGTTTTGTTTACTGTCCCCATCGACATAATAACCCCATCTGCAACTTCACGGCAAGTTTTGCGATGCTTGTCAACGCATCGAATATTCGCTGGAGTGACAGTTGTAGGTTGATTCTCACTTCTACTAAAACAAACAATAACCGACGTACGCCTATCTCTTAGTCGCTTCCACAGTCCTTATGTTATGGCAACTGGGTGGTCAAAGTTTAACATAAATTTCACCTGGTTTTACACCCTCCTTCATTAGAAATTTCATCGTAACACACTGTTCCGTGTTCAGGGTCATCTTGTTTTGTGCCTTCTTGAATAACTGCATGGGCATCAGTAGTGCGCCGGTACGCTGTACCGATGCTTCGCTGCCACCACCAGTTGCGTTTAGGCTAAGGATACTACGAAGGTTCTCTGGTCCCCTATGAAGGTTCGAACCGGTGACGTCCGGGTTACAAAGCAGACGCCTTGTTCTTCCATTCACCGACCGGCTTCTAGCAGTAGCATGTTATGACTCCCGTCGCGAAACTAAGTTATGCTAATCGGGGTCGAAACCGAGCGGACTCCTTAGGGCCGCATTTTGAGTGCCAGTACACAAGACATTGGACAAGAAGGGTGTATGGGTGAAGGGAACAGAAGACTGAGTCAAACGGAGGATCAACACCACTGCCACTCTCAAACACATACGGAAGGACGTAGCATTATTTAAGACGGTGGAGTGCAAAATGTCGTGTGTTTGTGCAGCTACAAGCGACAACTACTATGTGTATGAACCTCAGGAAACTTGGGAGAGCCAAATGGTAGGAACATGCTGTTCTGATACATATACCTAACTTTTAGTCTTTTGCGCGACTGTTATGTTCCAGTGTACAACCACAGCCCACAGACAACTTCCGCTTTCCGGACACTGCCGGTCGGTTTCCTGTACAATGGCGCAACTTGGCTCAGTTCTTTTGGACAAGCTCTGTTTCCTGTTAGACTGGCTCTAACCGTAACACATAAGTGCCGGCTCCTAGTGAGTAAACTGCCTCTACCTTGTACTTAAAAAAACAGGAGATTCCGAGTTGACTTGGACGGCTCACGTAGGAGTATTGGATTGACTTGGTCATCGTCGTTTCAAGCTATGTCGTTTTAACGTGCTGTCTACACTAGATCCTTGATCACCGATGACCTGCATTAATAAACTAATAATTCGAAGCATAGTTCATCAGTCTTTATTCTTTCCTCCTGCAGACCCGAGACACATTTTATACCAGACTGGCCTGAGAGTCTCACACAATTGCACCAAAGCTTCGCATTCTCGCTACCTCCACATTCCGACTCGCCGGTCACCCAACTTGAACCTCCGCCAGGCACCAATCCACGGGAGCAAAACATCGCCGTCTGCGAATCTGAGCTCGGTGATACAAGGTTCGTTCTTTCGTGCTTACACCTTATTTGGTACTTAATCGTACCTTTTCTTCATGCGTTTCTTCTTCCACTCCTGTTCAGACAATTGAGTGGCACGAATCTTGAGAATGTTCTATCCTTGTTTGTTGATTATGATATCATGTTTGGCTTCTCTTTCACATTGGAATTCTGATGTTTTAATCCCATTACTCTTGAATCCTCCGGAGAATCCATTTCTGTTATCCGTATTGATCGAACTGCTGTGTCGTCATGAGCAGTTTTAAGAGCTCAACGCTTGTTTGACTGTGGCGATTGCATGTTTACACGCTGCCTTTGTTCCAGTTGAGCAAAGGGCGTCAACTTAACCACGGTACTAGATTCGTGTAGTCCACTCTTTGAAAGGTAACAAACGCCAATAACGGGGAACTTTATGGTGCGCACTGGACCAGCCTGTGGTGTGACGGTTCAAACATTGAGGGTTGCCAGTCGGATTGAAGAGCTACTGACCTGACTCTGAGCATCGTCGAGACTGGCATCGTTTGTCGATTCAAAGTACGGGAATTACTAACGAAGGTAAGTTTGGTGTGTGCTGTAGGTGTGTGAGCAATCAAAAAAGGCAGGAACAGTGGAGATCGATGTAGTAGTGTTTGCGGAGTCCATAGTTCTGTCATAGGGTTAGATACTATTCGGTTGTCCAATCCGAAGTAGGGAGTCGTCTTAGGGATACCCGCAAGTAACCGGGGTGAAGTCCGGAAATCAACCATTAGGAACCGGGGACGGATTACTCACTTCACACGCTTTTTATTCGGTTGGTTGCCAAACGTCATTCAATTCTCCCCATGAAGTCAGCGGGAGGTTGCTGGGATGCAATGCTCCACTGGCAAGTCGCTTCCGCCACATCTCAGTATTATTAAACGGACATATGTGGCTTTTTATAGTGAGAACACGTACCGGGCGAAAACCCACCACGTACTGCGACACTGCCGCCGAACCAGTATTTGGAACGGGATGATCTCGAGCACCCATCTTCTAAGTTACATAGTAAGCAGCTTCTTGATACATGAACCGATGAGCGGTACAGTCATCTCGCCTTCTCATAGCTCCGAATGCATTGGCCATTTGGAGCTATCCACCGCAGGCTAACATTTCTTAATTAATCCTTGGGGTCACCATCACCACTGAGTTAGTGAGAAAACTCGACCACATCTTCTCTGGTGAAGTCCACCGACACTGCCTCGGAAGTTCATCATGGGTCTCTAGGCGCTCCGAGTCGACACAGCTGAGACGGAAATATGCTAATCGCTTCGGTTAGCATTTAATATATCTTACTTTGACACCTCAGGGTATTCTATTGAGCCTCTTTTTACCATAACACTCTTCAGGTATATTGAGACACATTAGCCGTACTACATACTGTCGAGGTTCTTGGCTAAATGTGCGAAATCAACTCCTCATATCTTACTGTGCTTTGTAAATAAAACACATATTTAGCCAGACCGGATGTGTTTATCCACGGAGGCGGCAACTGAGACGTTGAACGATGTAGGGTAGATCACCGGTGCATTTCGTCGGTGGTATTTCTGCCAAACCAGTAGAGAAGAGCATCATATGATCATGCGACATCTCCTCTCTTACTCTCTAACACAGTCTGTGTTCGTATCTGTGACATGGGCAGCGTAACCTTCCATAACAATACTTGGTACACAGTTTCAGTTTTAGATGAGATCTAACAGTTCGAGAGTTCATGTTCACCGGCCAGGTTATCAGCATGCCGAATACACCACATGGTCCATATCGAGTGATTCACCTTCCCGCGTTTTCACCTGCAGCTCAGCAGGCAGCTTACTTAGGCAATAGTCGTCCCACAGACCCGATGCGGTGTTATCTACTCTTCACACTCAGCGCGCGAGAGACAACTAGGTGTATCTATTTTTCCCACCACTAGTTGATGCTCAAAACACCTCTTTCTAAAAGTAGAAATTGGCTATACATTCTACAAAAGCAAAGCCTAATAAACTACTCGAGCTACAGAGAGATCACCTCTGGTTCTTGCGGTCGCTTATCTCTCCAGTACCATTGTCCACCATAGCCACGCTCTTCTGAGTCACTCGTGATATTTAAACTATCCGATTTTGTTTCTCTGTATGTTATCCAACTCCTGTCTCGAAGTGGACTAACCATGAGTGACGGACATCGTAGTCGACGTCTGAGCCTCATCAAGACAATGCCTTGCACTACTCCTCCCTGCTTCTTGTCGCTTAAGGGAACGCGCGACGTTGCTCTTAAGCCAATCAAAACAGCTAAGACAGTTTATTCACTAGTCTTTCGCCTCGATGTACCGCACCTATTACTTTCAACTATGTTAAAAGCGATCATCCAGATAGGTTCATCAAAACATTTGGTGACAGAAGTAGAACTTCTCAACGTTGTCTTTCGGGGGGAACTGTGTCCGGTGGTTGCGCTGAACGGCCTTACGGCTCGGTGGGGGATCGATACGGTGAACGGGCCATAGTTGGTCGCATGATTAAACTATTACATGTAGTGCGTCTTGTTAGCCAATTAGTGCACAGAACCTTATCGGACCTTAAGGCCAAGTTAGAGACGCTTGAAGTGAAGCGTCCACCGGCTTTCTTACATAGGTGTGATGGGCACATAAATGTAACTGTTTTTCGTCGAAAGTAAACTTTAGTCAAAGCAAAACCTCGTTGAGGTCATATATGTTCCTGTGTGACAACAAAATCCTCAGTCTCCACAGATGTTGTACCAGAATGAAACTGTTTCTTGTATGTACTACTACAACCCACCTTGTCAGCGGCAAAACTGCAGAGTCTAGTCACGGGACCAACGTTTTGCTGATAGAAATGGATGTTAGCCTACTTCGTCCTCTTGTGTCCCATTGGTCGGTACGGCATTGGTATATCAATGAGGCACCACACGGGCCATGTGATCCCGCATGTTTTCAAATGGGGTACTGGAAACATCCATAGGGATCTCCATCAGACCACACAAGCGGACTGCGCGCTCCATAATGTATACACGTACACAAACAAGTGTGGTGACAGGTTGCTTCCGGCTGACATGGGCATTTGTGCCAAAACTTGCAAAAGTCTGGATGCCCCCGAATCTAGCCACAATTGACATAGCAATTGGTAGTGACCCGAAGCTGCTGATTTACTCTCGACTTCTGTGTGGCCCATGATCATGCAGGCCCGAAAAGATCCCAAAAGACGTGTTTTCACTTAACTTGGTTTAATCGCTCAACGGAATTTTTATTACTGTTTGTGTTCTTGGTCGATTTGTTTCATTGCCACTCCCGTCTTCTCTTGTAGACCTTCATCAGATCACCACGACCTCGTTTTGCGTCAACTTCGCTTCCTACTTAGTCAGCTGCTGCAAGCTGGAAGCTTCGAATGGGCTTGTCTCGTCGCCCTCATGCTTCAAGATCACAACGGACTGTTCCATTCGGTCACGCTAGCCGTAGATGCGGCCACCAAGTTCACCTTATCCCGTCTGAAAGATCGACATGGCGGAGTCGCATCGTCTGTCGATGTTAGGTCTACCACACGGCTGTGGCACCGCGTGGCCGGGACACCTACGACTTCGTCCTCACACACATCCACCGAAGCCGTCCTCAGTCCCCTATTTGGTGATCCACTTAGTCGGGTGTTCGCTGGGTTGAGGCAGTTGAGTCTGTGGGCTACGGAAAACTGCCCATCCTATCAGCACTTTCTGGAGTCGCTGCAACCCGAATTGGAGTAAGTGTTTCACTGTGTGTGTCCCATTGACTACCCACTAGGATATATATATATATATATATATATATATATATGTGTGTGTGTGTGCAAGTGAACGGCAGATCTTGTGTCGTTTTGCAGTTTAACGCTGTTACATTGCCAATTTTCTTAACGCTTTGCATTTTTCGTGTCTTACGTAAATGTGAGCGTTGTGCTTTCTGACTTATTCGTCTGAATGTTTGTCCACACTCATCATCGGCCGAACATCGCATATGTGCTTGTGGACAACATGCGGTGTTTCTGGAGACTGACCTTTTAAATTGTATAGGTACCATGAAATAGCACGCCAGTCTTCCGGCAGTCTGATCCATTCGCCTCCAACAAATTCTTAACACACACGTACGGTCTCATATGGAATATTTATTTAGGCATGGTAACCCTGTCAAAAACAAGGTCTAATTGAGCTCGAAACTTTGCAGGCAAGGGCAACCAAACACAGTAAGAGATTGTTCCACCTTCGCAAGCTTAGTTTGGGGGTTGACTTTCCAAACTCTGGGGAACCCCCAGCCACTATTTGCCCCACATGCTGCAACTTCGTCGCAAAATAAACATTATGGACCACGTAATATAGCCCAACGGAATGTCGCCGGCACCCTTCATTTGTGCCAGCCATGGGACGCTGTCCTTAATTACGTCGTTTCTGCTCCTACAGTATCCGTGTTCGTGTACCCTTTCTGGGTTGCCCTAACCCGCTTACATCACGAGGCATATCCCGTGTACCTGAGGAGACAACTTAGCTTGAAAAACGGTGTGTTCACCCCAATTCCCCATATAAACTAATTAGGTTGATTTTACTTGTGTTTTTGTGTCTGGACAGTATGCTGAATCCATCAGAACACTTCATATTCCCGCTACTTTCTCTTCTCCTTTGTTTTGGGGTTCTCGTCCCAGCGATCTTACATTCCGTTCCATGGTTGTTCAATTAGTGATTGTACGACTACTTGCGTCACCGCAACTAGATGATCCGTTGATAACTAACTCAGCTGAATTGAGCTGTCTATCTCAATATTCCGCCTCTGATATTTTGCAGTCAAGTTGTCGAACAAGCGAGCTCGTTTTTTGGACAGTGTGCTTCTGGTTCTTTGCCTGATGGACCTCAAGTAATTGGTGACATTGCCGCGACCAATTACGAGCACATCCCTTACGGATTTCTAAACCGAAATGACGATCATTTGCGCACCACGAAACCTCCTCTGCAGGATGCCGATGACCTTCCTTTGCACTCGGAAGAACACATAGATCTTGCAGCGGTGACTCCTCAACCTTCAGAGACAGATGCATCGGAGGTACGTTAACCTCTCCTTCATTCCGCAAACTCTTGCGCCTCCTACCTTTTTCTTCCTCAGTCCCCGAGGCTTTTCTCTTGCGTTGGTCCACATGTAGTCCGGAGTCATCAGCGCGTTTTCTTTTCTGACATAACTTCACTACACTACATTCACCCTAAATCGTCCCTAAAATGATACTTTGGTTTCCATCTCCCACAAAGGAACCTTACCAAACGTGAACCCCCCTGCTCCTACTCGTCTTTTAGCTTAATATCAACTTCCGCTTTGCTGCGATATGCCAATTTTCTTATGTTGCTTACTCGTGGAACCAACATTGAACTTCGAGTGGTTCCCTTACCAGCAGTGGCCGATTCAGCATCTATTGCTTTATTGGTTGCCCTCCAGTAGGTCGATTTGTAGATATTTAATGACCACGAACATTACCAGGCCTTATTTGTAAGTAGTATGGGGATTTATTAGGTTTTGTGTAGATTCGTCGCAGTTAGACACAGGCAGACAGTCACCACACATCCAGAAAAGCGCTAGACAGCCGTTTCGTCCTATTGGGACGTCAGTAGCGCGCACCTGCCGAATCCTGCCGGATTCGAACCCACGACCTTACTCTTGCTAGTCAGCGACTTATGCCACTGAGCCATGGGCGAGGGCAACGGAGCACCATGACTGATATCTAACTGCGATATAGTGCGGCTCATCCTCCACTCTCTTGCATGTTATGAATGTGCAGAGGACAGGGCTGGCCCCCAGAACAACGACTACCTTTGCAAGCCGCCACCAATCGAGGTGGCATGTAAGCCGCTAAGGTGACTGATGCTTATTTGCAAGTAGTAGGGGAAAGAAGTCGTTGCTCTGAGGGCCAGCCCTGTACTGGATGTGTGGTGACTGTCTGCCTGTGTCGAACTGCGACGAATCTACACAAGACCTAATAAATATCCCGAAAGGAATTCTTCACACAATTCGATTTCTGGTTTTGATTATGAAGAAGGAAATTTCCCTCTTTGGCATTCCACTACACCAGACTAGCTACTTCACTGATCTGGCAGTTACTTTGAGGTCCTTACTCAGGAAAGTACACAAGAGAGCAATAGATCCGGTAAGGTAACGCACATACAGTGATACAACGCTAGGTCGAAAAATGGGATACGAAAGAAAACCTGAGACGTGTAACATAGACTGAGAGTCTTCTAACTTTAGCGAATGTTTCATTCACGTGAACGGACCACCTAAGCCCACTGTTTAGCGTCACTCCCAGATCTTTTACTGAATTGGAAGTGGTCGAACATTCACTGTCAATGCAAAGTTGTGGACACTACGTAAGGATACGCTGGTAGCAATTTCCTTTGAATAGCGCAAAAAAGACATCCTTGTATTTTGAGGTGGGTGAGATAGGCAACGGGATTTGGACCAAGCTGTGAGGTGATCCAAGAGGGCTTGTAGCTTGGCCGATGACTGCCCTAGGATGTTTGACGCCAAGGATTACACCGTCCGCATACTTCAGCAGGATCGCTCCTTCAGGGACGGGAATTGAGGTAACCTAAGTGGAAAACATGAAGTGGAACAGAACTGTTCTCTGTTCGTAATGATTGAACAAGAATTTTTCCCCATGAACCTGGTAAATTGGGTTCGGCTGGTAAAATAATCTTTCAACAGAAGAACAGCAGAATGTCGGACACCGGAACCTAATCGATCGCGCAACAATATTTCATGGTGCGCACAACCGAAAGCGTTGCTAAAATCCAGGAAGCAGTTGCGAATGGATTTGTTTTTAGTATTCAGTGACGCGAGCATTGTAGGTACCAAACATGTTACCGCATCTAAAGTGGACATTGAGCTGCGATATGCAAACTGATGCGGGTTATCCAAATAGGTCTTTGTTGAAATTCTTTTAGGAATAAGGGTCTCAAATGTCTTAAGAGCAATCGACATGCATGCGATCGGCCAATTTTTGCAGGCTCCTTTCTTTGGCACTGACGTGATGCTTGCGCTTCGGCAAATGCCAACTACCTTGTGCTGCCTGCAGCGTGCAGCGTGTACAAGTCGTCAAGGGGCTCTGTCAGGTAAACTGCACACTCTTTGAGAACCATAGGAGACAGCTTATCTGGACCAGGTGCTTTGGTTACCTGCAGCCCGATTATTTCTCTGTGTACTTCTAGGCTGTTCACAGAAAGAGGGTTATCTGAGGCTAGCTGTAACTCAGCAGTGGATATATCAAAAGATGAACTACTATCCTTGTCGCAACTATTGAGGTTTAGTTTTTCCACATCCGGAGTCGAATGCGTGACTTCGCGAGTAACTCCGATTAACTTTTCATCATTTCCCCTATTTCACGCTAATTATTGTTTCCAAGTATGGCTTGAACGTAGATATCGTTGAGTCGACGCAATTCGATTTTTACTGTTGTAACGCCTTTGCGTTTAAAAACCTTTTCTTTAAGTCTACGCAGTCGTTTGAGATATTGAGAGGAGGATTTGACGACACGTATAAAATTGTTTCAATTGGACAACTGGTCTCGAAGCAAAAATTTAAGTAACTAGCTAACTGGTCATAGTATTTCGCTACGTCATCATCATAAGATAAACTAAAATGTTTGGAGGCAGTGGTTTCACGCAGTCTTTGAATGTTCTGAGGAGAGCATTGTTTCCTCCTAAACTTTCGCTCTTTGCAACGGATGAAATCTTTATAGTTCGTCTTTCTATAGATAACGGAAGATAATTTTACGGTGGCGTGATCAGAGCTCCCATATAGTACCCGATTACAAATAGAAAACATCTTCAGTTTGTCGGCCGTTGGCCGAGTGGTTTGCGCGTTTGGTTTGCATTCATTAGGTCACAGGTTCTAATCCGCGTAGCGGTGGGCGTCCTCGCGGTATACACAGCCGGCGCGCGACTGGTGGTCGCGCGGCAGCGAAGTGACGTTACGGCGTATAGCTGACACATTATTTATTATTTTACATTTTTTATCCAGTTTGTTAACAAATACCATGTCAAGTGCTGCATCTAACCTGATTGACCCAAGGCTGGGGTTGAGAAGCACCTCATCCATTGTGCTGTGCCAGTATTGTATAGCGCAGTGTTGCGGCGTCGCACGAATGGCAGACCATATCTAGCTGTGTTCCTCGATTTCACGCATCTATTTGGCCCAATCACTCAGTTCATTCGGCAAACTTGCCCAGAAACCTGTTCCAGTAGTCTGTGAACGTTTGACACCCCCCTCAACCGCCTCGGATCATGTCAGATCTCGCGATTATTCGTCAGACCCTTCTATAACAAGAAATGAAATTTACAGTTGTCTCACCTATGTTTTATTCCCCTTTATCGTGGACTGTTTGTCTGTTGGGTGTCATGGGACAGTAGCTGTGGTGCCGTTGTGGGGGAAAACTACTTGATCCGAATCACACGAGCGACGCTTGCCGATGAACGTTGGGGAAATCATTCTACCCACCTTTAAGAAACTTATAATGGTAATCCCATAACTTAGCGGGCGTCTTGCACCAAGTGCAGCTACTCGAACATCAATTGGTCAGCTGTCTGATCCTGGACGACAGACCATTGCTGGTGTGTCGGAGACGATGAGTTATTCGTGCGAGTGTTTACCTTCGGTATTTGAGACACTTCTTTAGGTTAGCAAATATCATTGAATTAGCTGAATCGGCGCGAGTAATTACTGAGCGCATGCGCTCGCCATTCACCGATATCTTTGCAGTGTTTAATTGGAGCTCCAGGAATGGCAGCTGTTCGGTGTTGTTGTTACGTCTCAACTTTCAGGTTGGAATGCCGTTGACTTACCAGTTCTTCGGTTCGAAATCTTACAGGGCACCAATAACATGTTTGCTGTCGTCTTACGCGCAGTCGGATTGACTGTTTAGGGTGTTTACGACACAGCTATCTATAAGGCTAGGCTGATTATGCGTACAGTGTAGTAAAACCCTTTAGGATTCTTCCTCACACGATATCAATCTGTTCGTCTGTGTTTTGTTCGTATGGTTCAGTTACCTTGATGGGTAGTGCCTAAACCACGTTTGTCAGTTTTCTCATTACACAACTGAAGGGTCAGTCCTTTTTATCTCAGTTGCATGCTAATGCGAAGCAACAACCTGGTACTGTTGCTGGTCGTGATGTGGGGTGTCTAATGGGAACCTAAACAGGTTTTAAGAAGAGCTGAGTGTTTTACCCAGCTTGTGTCGGTGCGGTTTGTCCCAGCTAGACTCAATCGCAGTATCCACCCGCCGGTTGGTCATTTCCTCTCACAATCAGGCGATCCTTAATTAAGCAAGTAGTACCGAGATTCATTGATATAGGTCTGGGCATGCAGTTAGTGGTACATTTGTCCGTTCCGAAGACTCGACCGTCTCTAAAACCCCAGCTTACTGGTACTTTGGCTTGCTTGCTTGTCCGCACGTTGCCAATACTGACTACAACTCAGCTATATATTAACGTCCTGTGTGCTTCTTCCTCTTTGTCATGAGCACCTGTTTTCTTTTCCTTGGTGAGTACTCATCGAACCCCCCCCCCCACAGACCCACCTCAGACCCCCATCTGGATGAGACCGACCTTTTTCTCCCACGAAAGATTACCTGAGGTGCAACTCCAGGCACACCAAGCTAAACAAGTCTTCACGCCCCGTACACTTACAACCCTCCACTTTTGTGTCGTGGCTTTCACATTTCGTTCGTGCTCCACGTACTGTCCACAATGTAATTTATAGGGAACCGCGATCGCTTGGAGTTTGGTATATAGGGTGGCCACCCATTTTTATTATGTATATATTTGTACGCCGAATAGTTTGATCTCCTACGGACAAACGTACATGCATGAAGGGCGCTTCATTGGCATGCCTTTCTGTGTGTGGATTGCTTCAAACTCGAGTGAAATTCCTTTTGCATATCCACCTTCCCTCCGTTGATTCCGGTTGTCAATGACTGCTCGCATTGATTGATCTATGTCCCATCACTGCCTCGGTATAAACTGATCATGAATCTGACTGGTAAATGTCATCCTGGATGGAACCTTTGGAATCGACCACATGCATTGTCAGTAACACTTTTGTAACCTGGTGTAGTCAAAACGCCTGTACCAACGATATAAAGTCTAAACTAAGTACGTCGTACGAAATTAAATTAAAGACTACGAACCAATAAATCTAGACTTCACGCACCGTCTGGGCAGAAGAATAAAACGGATTATCCTGAAACCGTGGTTCTGTAAGACGGATTGTAGTACATGACTTACAAATATGTTTTGAAATCGTAGTGCAAGAGGACAGAAATTGTAAAGCGTGCGGCAGTGTGCGGGAATTTTGGGCAGTGTCACAGTAACAGAATTGAAATGGATGGCCATGATAGGTCAAGGATATGTCAGTGATCGAGAGTCGAAGGAATAAATGTTCAATAAGGTAACCGATTGTAGCACACAGTGTGAAAGTAGTGTAAACTGAGCAGCATAATTAGGAAATACGGATACCGTGTCCTCGAGTAATCAATCCAGATTGGGGAATACATAAAAGTTCCTGTTGGATTTTACAACGCTGTTGACACCTTTTCGTATAGCCGCTTTTGAGTCATCTGTCTTACATATTTTGTCATTTTTTATACTATCCATTTCGAATTAGAGCTTATTTTGTCCTCTGTATCCCCGTTTCACTGTTGCCTGTCTGTACCTATGTCTGCGGGGTCAGTGGCAATCGGGGCCGTCACACTACGGCGTTCGTGTCCTGATTAGGTAAGTGGACTGAAATCAACACTACTTCTGAGAAAAAAACTCTTGGATTGTCTTCTTCCTTTCAGTCACGATTTACGACTGGTCCATGCTGGTTGTGACCACTGCTGCTGCTGTTGCTGCGGGGAACGCATGCACCCAGTTCAAAATTCACAGGGTGATGATCTCCTATCACGACTTATTCTACTCTTAAAACCAGTCTTTCATCATCATCTTAACAGCTCGTATACATATGGGTATCAATATTTGTTGGTTTTCAACATACCTTATTGCCAGTGTATTTAAATCTCCAGTCGACACACAATTTCCTTCCACCCTGTGCTCTCCTTCTAAGTAGGTTTGCTTGCCCCATTACAGCCATTTTGCTGTTCTCGAGTTTCTCACACAGGTTCTTTTCCGTTTGCAAATTTCTGCACTATTTCTGTCTTGATCAACCCCAGAGTTTTCCTCTTCCATTTCTTAGACTATTTGTTCTTCGGAGACCAGTCGAAGCACCACCATAGAAGGACCATATTTTTATGATGGTGCTCGGGATGACTATCAGTTCGACGCTTCTACACACCCACGGGACTCAGGGGCCTACGAGATATCGGTGGGTCCTATCCTACACATTGATGCATCAAATACCAAGGATGGTTTTGTACCGGCAGTCTGTGTTCCTACGGCCATTTTCGATGGAGTGGACCCTTTGAACTCTTATGATCTTCTTGTCGATGGGACGGAGGAGATGCCTTTCTCAACATCCCACCATACAGCAATATCTACCGAGAATGGGTCTTGTAGAGTGCTGTAAATTTCTCACTTTTTTTCTTCTGTGGAACGTATCAGTTATCTCTGGCAATCAAACACTCTCTCTTCCTCTTTAGTCGTATGTTTTTTTTGCGATTTGTGTAAGTGGCTTTCCAGAAAGACTGACCAGTAGTTTGTAAAAATCGATTTGGCCTTTTATTTATTTGCAAATATCACTGATTTCCGCTGCTTCATCATTCAAACAGATACGGATAACATATGGGAGGTGACAATGCACGACAGCAAGTAATTTCTCGATTTTATTATCTCTGTCTTACTTCAACTGACAGGAGCCTCTTCGTCTCCATGTCTTCATACTGGATTCCAAATTCTTCATGTTTTTATACCTTGGGACTTGAAAAATGCGGCAACCAGGCTGTTGCCACGAATGACACTGCCTTCTGAGACATCCATGCGACAACCTTGTGTTCCTCTTAGACTATATTTGATGAACTTGCCACTGAAGCATTGATGAGTGGACTTCTCTGTTTTGGGAACGCGTTCTGCGTAATGATCTGACTCTGTGTCTACAGGCTAGTGGGTTGGGTTGTCCCACTATCGGGAAGCGAGAGCCTTGCCAAAAAGTCGTTGGCAGATGTAACACTGATGCTTCTGTAAAGAACAGGTGCCGTGTTTTTGCTGCCCTGCATACCTGCACTTGGTAACCATATCAGCGCATAATTTTTAAAGGCGAGTCGCGTATCCAGGTTTCAATTCACCGTGGACACGAAACTGTCTCCGCTCAAATAGATTTGAATTGACCAACTTTGCTTCACACACAAAAACACATTGGAACGGTTAACGTTCAGTGAAATCAATGAAATAATTGAAAAATGAGATAGGGTAAATTTATAAATAATTAGAATGACGCTGTACACGTTTGACCTGGGAGTGTGCGGCAGAGTGGATAATTCGAGTTATACTTTATACGCTACCCTGCGCTGTCCAACGGAGTTTTTAACCCGTTCCACCTTCTCCATCCCAAATGGCACACAACATGTGGTCTGTTTTCCTTTGGGGCATTCCTTTTCTGCGGTGACCGGCTCTCCCGAAAGTTTCTTCCAACTAGACATCGTATTAGCAAACAATATATGTCCATGTGTTCTGTCGACAGGTAGGAGCAAGACCTGACCTGTCGTACGCGGTTAATGTCTGTAAGTACTTTTCAGAAAACCCATCTGCCACACACCAATCGTATTACTCATCTGGTGTTTCCGCCGGATATGGCGAACACAGTGTCGCGGTACCGGTGGCCAATCACAATTGGTTCCTTATCACCCTGTGATAACTTCTTCTCTTCCCTTGGACACGATGGCTTAGCCGCAACGTTACAAGTGATACTTGTTGCACGGTTCCTAGTCAACGCACGACTCGGCTAACTCACTGTGCCCGCGAAACCAGACGGATTGATGGACACTCCCCCGGGAAACTAGTTGCGCTTGCGAAGTATGCGAAGCCGGCCGACTAGACTGACACATGCTCACGCGACCTACGCAAGTCCCTATCTGCCACATAAGAGAAAAGTCAAAAGACGAGGCGGACCCTTAGGAGTTCTTTTACGACCCACAAAGGATGAAGAAGCTTGGCGCAGCGGTTCGTTTTATGGCAGAAACGAATCACCACGCCGAGCATGTGATTTACAAAAGACCATTGTTCACTTTGTCACGGCTGCTCACTGAATTGCACTGATTTGGAGGCTGCTGCGTTGTGGGTTGGAAATGTATGTATGTATGTAATCTCAACAGTCTAGTAACTAGACATAGAGCCAAGAAAACCATGGAAATCAGTGTATAAGAGACAGTCATTGCGTCATAATCGTCATGGCATGCTAGCTGAAGGTGGGCAACACACTTCAGCTAATATGCCGCAAGAAAATGGAATATTTTGACAAAAATACAGAACAAAACATTTTTAGTTTGTTTGTCACACGCCGGTTTTTCTCTTTTTTGTTATTTTCAATTTTTGTAGAATTAAACATGTGAATCAACACAACACTGTACACAATTCTTCCATTGATTCCGGTTGCGGGCCATGTCTTCAAGTGTCCTAAGCCATTGGCACTCGCCATCTTTGGGTCCCCATCCTGGAAGACGTACGGGTCCAACAGCGGCTAGACACGACGTCAGCGATTTCATGTGCTGCCGCCAAGTGGAAGGCTGACCACCACGCGGTCGCTTCCAGCCAGGTCCTTGACGAGCGAATAGAGCGCGACGCGGTAGACGCTCAGGTGCCATGCGTAGGACATGATCGAGCCATCTTAACTGGCGCAACAAAACCAGTTTGTTGAAGGAAATACTTGCATTCCCCAAGACGCGACGTCGAACGTCATTACTGGTAACTCGATGTTGCCACCGAACACGAGCGATCCTCCTTAAGCAACCGTTATCGAACGCAGAAAGACGACGCATGTCTTCCACGCGAATCGGCCAGGACTCGCTCCCGTACAACAATACTGAGCGAACGGACGCGCTGTAAACTCGGCCCTTTAGTGAGAATGAGACGTCGCGACGACGCCACAAGTGCCTCAGATTGACAAATGCTGATCGAGCTTTAGCGATACGAAGCGAAACTTCTTTGTTGATTGTGCCGTCAGCGGAAACACAGCTCCCAAGGTAGACGAAACTATCTACCTGTTCAAGTTGTGCACCTTGGAGAGTGAGCACGGGTGCAGGTGAAAGCCAATCCTTGAGCAGTACTTTACATTTCGATGGGGCGAAGCTCATGCTATACTTAGATGCTTCAACCGCCAAACGATCCAGAATGATTTGCATACCCTGAGGATCGTCACCAAGTAAGGCGATATCATCAGCATAATCTAAGTCGGTCGCGCGCTCACCCGGTAGAAGCTCTAGGCCAAAATGTTGGAAACCTTCTAGGGCATTCGACAGAACGTCTTCGATTGCGAAGTTGAAGAGGAATGGGGATATAGGGCAGCCCTGTCGCACACCGCTATTAACAGTGAATTGCGAGAAAAGCTTGCCATAGACCCTCACTCTGCCGGATGTGTGAAGGTAAAGTGCTCGTAAGATGGCGATATATTTCTCTGGCACCCCGTTCTTTAGTAAGCAACGCCATAAAGCAGGTCGATCAACGGAGTCAAAAGCGGCACGTATGTCTAGGAATGCAACGATAGTGGGCCTGTGATAAATGTGGCGATGTTCAAGGAGTTGGCGGAGCGTGAAGATTTGATCCACGCATCCGCGGCCAGGACGGAAACCAGCTTATTCTTCACGGTAGTACGATTCACGTACTGGGGATAGTCTACGAAGTAGAATGGATGCCAACAGCTTAGAGGCAACCGAAATAAGACTAATCCCGCGATGATTTGCACATGAAGTGCGAGTGCCTTTCTTGAAAATTGGGACAATAACTGATTCGCCCCACGAGGGAGGCACTCTCTCTTCATGCCAAATTTTTGCGAACAGCGCGGTTAGCTGGTTAATGACTGCCACACCGCCATACTTGAATAGCTCCGGAGGAAGTCCGTCTAAGCCGGCAGCCTTGAAGCGCTTCAAGCGTCGAATCTCGAGGCAGACTTCCGCTTCGCTGGGTGGATTCAATGGGACTAGCCAAGGTGGACCGCAAGGTGTACTGCATGTACTGATAGATGGTGGAGGCCAGTTGAACTGCGAGTGAAAGTGCTCGGCCCAGCGGTCCATACGCCTCTGTTGGTTGGTGATCGGAGACTCATCCACCTCACAAATGACCTCACTGACACCAGGCTTCCTGAGGCCAGTGGACCGAATGAGTTGGAAAAGCCTGCGAGTGTTACCAGAGAGGGCAGCAGTCTCCATCTCTAAAGCACGCTCAGACCACCATGTCTCGCGATCCTTGCGGAGGCTTTGCTTAAGCAGCCGGTTGGTAGAACGGCGCCGCTCGTTGCAATCTGATTCCGCGGAGATATCTTTGCGGCGTTCGAAGAGCTCCAGAGAACGAGCAGAGATCCAAGACTTCAAAGGGCGTCGAGTTAGACCGCAGTATGACTGTCCGGAAATGGTCAGCGCTTTCCGTATACAAGTCCAGTGTTGTTCCACTTCTCGCGGTGGATTGCAACTGAGTGCATATGCCAGTGAAGACTGATAGCTCTCCTGGACAGAGGAATCAGTTAATCTGTTTACATCAATCTTGCGGTGCTTCGTGTTTCGGAATCCTCCAAAACACATACAGATTTTCGCGCAGACCAGAGCATGATCTGAATCAACGAAAGTGGACCAAAAGGACCTGCAGTCCAGTACGCTGCCGCGCCATCTGAAGCTAATCGCAGTGTGATCAATTTGAGACCAAGGTTGTGTTGAAGAAGGGGGACGCCAAGTTGCGGAACGTTTCTTCGTACGCCTGAAGCTAGTGCTCGAGAGAAACAGACGGTTGTCCTCGCACAATGTGAGAAGTCTCTCTCCGTTATCAGAGCGGTTCTCATCGAGCGCGTGATGACCACCAAGGTGGCGTTCGTATGGTAACAGGCGGCCAACCCGTGCATTAAAATCCCCAGCAAGGATAACGACATCCGACTTTTTAGCATTAGTCAAGAGCTGTTGTAGATCTCGGTAGAAATCGTCCTTGACCGAGTCGCTACTGCAGTCAGTTGGAGCGTATACAGAGATCACAAACAAGTTGCGTTTCTCTTCGCGTTGCCTGTTGATTCTACATGAACCCCGAAGCCGAACTGCACATAGTCGGCTGTTAATATGGAACCAGTCCAGTAGTGCCGCCTCGGCCTTGCCACTCAGTGCTAAACCTACACCAGCCAAACCCGCTGAGCTTGCTTCTGGATCTCCAGAAAGACGCAGGTGATATCTGGCTTCGTGGTCAGTGGGGGATGTCAATGTAAGCACAGTGCTGGGATCTTGCAATCGGGTTTCTGAAAGACAGCAGACATCAATGTTTAGGGAATCTAGGGTGCGCGCTAGACCGGCTTGCTGTCCAATCTGCATGAGTGTCCGGACGTTGAAGCACGCTAGACGGAACGAGGATTGGGGACGAAGGAGAGCCATAGGTTGAATTCCTTGATCTGCGGAGCAACCGGAAATGCACACCGCGCATTGGAGTCCGAGGTGCAGTTGCGTATTTTGCGCTCCTGCAACACACCCTTAAATTTGTCTAGGCTGATCACACCGCACCTTTAACTGAGTGGCGGATGCCTATTAATGTCCACAGAAGTTTTGGGCTATGGTGGATCGCGTAGGCCGTACCACCACACGCAGTGACTCCCCTGGATGATTTGATTGTTATGAATAACGCAACTCTATAGCACGACTCATCTTCCACATACGAACTTTGTAGGAGACAGGGCTGGCTCCCACAGGTTCACGACTTTCGCCGTGGTCTGCTGGTTAGTGGTGCGAGCCGATGGCATCAAGTGACCATGATTTCAACTCCTGTTGGTACCGAGGGTTACACGCCACCGATGAGTTTCAGCAGAATGAAGCGGTATTCTTGTCCTTTTCGAGATGCGTGATGGGACATGGGGTCTA